TCAGCTAAGCATTTAACATATGGTTTTGCCATGCACTGTCTCAGTTATAAAAAATGAGTCTCTTCTTTGACAAACAGCCTGAGTTTTCTCTGTAGGCTTGAAATACCACTCTGAGGTTAAGCTGCTTCACCAAAATATGCCTTATGTAGATGCAAAACCACCATACAACTAAAATATGCTCAGCTTTTCAATCTATGTGTAAATTCAGTGATTGCTAAGAGGAAAGTTGGGAAGAAGGTAGTTCCAGATCCACTGGTGGGATGGCTGATCATATTTATTTATCTGTCTCCTAGTTACTAAATACATAAATACAATAAAAATTGTTTCTTTTTTCTTTTTCTTTCCTGATTGGTAGCTGAAGATTAAGGCGGGGAGTAAGAGTGGGCATGTCTGAAAGAGCAGAGATCAGTAATGGAACTGAAAGTGTATTCTGAGCTTCATATGTAAGAACATAAGCAGTGCCCTGCTGGATTGGACCCCTTTGCCATCTAGCCCAGCAGTCTGTTCTCACAGTAGCCAACTAACTGGACAAGGAAACACACTAGTCTCCCAGCAGATGGTCTTCAGAGGCGGTCACAGTGCCACCAAGGCTAATAGCCATTGGTCCTCATGACTTCCATGAATTGGGCCAACTCTTTTTTGAAGCCAGCTGAGCTGGTAGCCAGCACCACCTCTAATGGTAGTGAATTCCAAAGTTGAGTTATGTGATGTGTAAAAAATATTTCCTTTTTGTCTGTCCTGATTCTTGCAGGATTCAATTTCATTAGATACCTTCTGATTCTAGTAATTGGGAAGGGGAAAATAGCTTCTCTTCGTCCACACCATGCATTGTTTAATTTTATTACTTACTTTTTATTGCTTATAAAATAATAACAAAAAGAGAAAGAAAACACAAAAATAATTATAGTGCAGATACATACATTCTCAAAAAAAAATGCATAAAAATTGCTTTTAAAAAGTGAAAAGAAAATACAACAGAAAAAAAGTATAATATATCATTATAGCAATTACAATACTGTATATAGTTACCTAATGTAAATATTATTCAAGTACATATATATTCATTTCTAATACATTTGTATAACTATCATTCATTTTTAACCCAGTGTATTTTGTATAAATGAGTTCCATATTTCATTATACTTGTCCATACAAAGTCTACATCTATAGGCAATCCATTTATAGGTGGCAAGTGCAATCAAGTCTTCACTCCACTGAGTAAATGGGGCCATACATTTATCTTTCCAATGCTGCAATATCAGTCTTTTGGCCATAGTAAGGGCATGGAGTATCCATTGACATTGTCCAGTTGTCAGATTCCATGTAATAGGTATGTAATTCGAGAGAATATTATCTTCTGAAAATTTCAGTTTTTATTGCACATATTTATGTAATCCACTACTTTCTCCCAAAATTAAGTATAGGACATTGTAAAAACATGTGTTTTAAAAGAAGCATTATCCTTCTTACATCTCCAACAAAATGCTGTCTTAGACAGACCTTTTCTATTCAAACATAGTAGAGTCCAATAAATTCAAAATATTATTTTTTGTTGTATAAGTCATAGTTTAAGGTCCACTGACACTCTTGACATAGACGTTAAGACACTTTCCCATTGTCTAGACCAGTGTTTCTCAACCTTGGCGACTTTAAGATGGGTGGACTTCAACTCCCAGAATTCCCCA